ACTGAGGTCCTAAACTCTAGCAGTTAGTTTCCTCGTTTGAATTGTTTTACATTTGTCATTTCCTGGTCATTTATAGCATGCTATGCGATATGTCTTTCGCTCATTGTTAAAGGCTACAGTTGTTAACGTCATTTGGTCTCTGGTGATGAATTGTTTTATTTGCAATCATACTATATCTTGTATATCCAGATAGCATCCACTACTACCTAAGTTATCCTCTTCTAAAAGTATTGAATAAAGTTGCTGTATGAAGTTTTGATTTTTAAGATAGCACTTTAAAATCCCCAGTTTTTTGTAGAAAATGAAATTCATCTTATTTTTTCTGTATGTACTTGGCTGTGTAATTTGTCTGATACTGACATAGCTATGTGTATTTTGTCTGATACTTACATAGCTATGTGTATTTTGTCTGATACTTACACAGCTATGTATATTTTGTCTGATACTTGCACAGCTATGTGTATTTTGTCTGATACTTGCACAGCTATGTGTATTTTGTCTGATATTTACACAGCTATGTGTATTTTGTCTGATACTTGCACAGCTATGTGTATTTTGTTTGATACTTACACAGCTATGTGTATTTTGTCTGATACTTACACAGATATGTGTATTTTGTCTGATACTTACACAGCTATGTGTATTTTGTCTGATACTAACAAAGCTATGTGTATTTTGTCTGATACTAACAACGCTATGTATTTTGCCTTTCGTGATATTTATATCCTTAAAATAACAAATGCATCAATGAAAATAATAATCTACTACTGTAGTATCTATCTTAAAATTACATTAAGCAATGCTACCTGCAAGTAAAAATAATTTATTTACTATGATTAATGGTTACTTCTATTTGTATTTTAATTATGTTGTTGGTGCATAGTTAACAACAACATATTTTCTTAAAGTTCTTTATATGTATATATAGTATTTAAAATTGGTCTTAAATAGGTTTTCTATAACCCAAATAATTTAGGTTAATGGTAGCCATCGTAGAGCAGAGGAATATAACGACTGAATTATTCGGGTTAGGTTTTCTAAAGCACATTACGGCAGAACTTAAGGATGTTTGCTACTCTGTTTCAAAATAACAAGCTTTTTAAAAGACTGTTATAAATTGATAGTATATAATTAAAGGAACTAAAAAAGCAGAAAAAAATTAAGGGTCCGTGTGCTTATTTTATAGATATAAGCCATTGAAAAGTTGGCGGGAAATAATTCTCTCTAGACTTTTCATGCATTTAACATTGGCACCCTTTTTCTTTAAAAAATTATGAAAAAATATCAAGGGATTTATAGCATTTTCAAATATGACTATTAAAACTATATGTAATAAAATTATGAAAAGAAAATAGGGGTTAGCGGGAAAAATTTTTATTGGCACTAATATGGATAAAACTAGAGGATTCCGAATATCTGACAAAAAGTCAAAACCAAAGGAAGCGAACATCCTTAAGTTGATCCCAAGGTATGACTTATATTACCTCCTTGGATGAAACATTTGATATGTCTAAGAACGCTAATGTTTTATTAGCAGAGAATAGCACTGATCTACAATACATGTTAAATATCTTTTACGAATATTGTGAAGAATGGAAAATGAAAATAAATACAAACAAAACTAAAGTTTTTATCTTTTCCAGTGGCAGAATGCCAGCAAATCTCAAGTTCACAGTTAATTGTAACGATATTGAAATTGTAAAAGAATACAAATATTTAGGTATTTTATTTTCTAGAAGTGAATCCTTTTTATCAAATAAAAAATATCTCAAGGAACAAGCCACAAAAGCTATGTATAGTGTATTAACAAAATGTTGACAAAACAATTTGTCAATAGAAGGTCAACTTGATTTGTTTGATATGGTAATGGTTTTACCAATACTGTTATATGCCAATGGTTCAGAAATATGGGGATTTGAAAATATAGATATGCTGTTTTTTACTCTTTGGTCGGGTTGTTGTCTCTTTGACACATTCCCCATTTCCATTCTCTATTTTATTGAACGTGTACATTTGCAATTTTGTAAAATGATTTTACATTTAAAACAGTCTACTCCAAATTTTATAGTGTATGCAGAGCTTGGCAGATACCCATTACTGTGTCTGTGAAGTTGCGAATGATAAATGTCTGGAGTAGACTTCTTAATGGAAAAGAAAGTAAAATTTGTTTTGTATTATACAAACTTGTGTTTTTATATTATAATGATTACGGAATAGAAACTATGTGGATATCATATATAAAAAATATTTTTGATAATTGTGATATGTCCAATATATGGAATGCACAGTTTGCTGATAAATGGGTGTCAAAATGTATTGAGCAAAAACTCAAAGACCAGTTTCAACAAGAATGCTTTGCTTTTGTTGCAGAATCACCTAAAACAAAAAAAATGTACAATTTGAAAACTATTTTTCATTTTCATCTTACAATTTCATTTATACATTATGCAAATATAGATGTGGTAGTCACCATCTGCCGATTGAATCTGGAAGGTGTCAGAGTTTACCGAGAGAAGACAGAGTGTGCCGTCTCTGTGATCAAACGACATTGGTGAAGAGTACCATTACATTAAGACTTGTAGAACATTTGAGTTAGAAAGAAAGAAATTTTAACCGCAAAATCTATAAATTTGATCAACTGTTTAACTCATCAAATATTGTAATATTAGAAAAATTATGTCAATTTATCAAAGTTATAAATGTGTAAGTCAGTCCTCCAAGTTAATTTCATTGTATTTTTCACATATGCATGTAATAATTGTACATTATAGTTATGTTTATATATGTTCTCTATAACTATGTAATTGTAGTTTTATGAGAAATAAAGTATTCGTATCCGCCAGAATTTAAAAAAAATAACCATTTTTTGTCTCTAGTGGTGGATAAGCTGAGTTGTATAGGCAATGTTCGGTCAAAATAGACCACAGCAATGCTCTCTGTACACAAAAAACACTTTTTAGACAACTCTCGAACGCATTGTTCCTTTCAATAATATTATTCTTTATTGATAGAACCATAGTTGTTGTATTCGAAATGAGCAACGCAAGATGAAATAGATAGAAATATTTTGTATCGCTTATTGCGCAATACTAAAAATGTCCACGAAGCTCCTATAAAGTTTTAAAGTATTTTATACATTCCTGGCTTTTACATGTTTAGGGATAAGCGTTCCTGAAAAAATTAAATCCAGAAAAGCTCTTCGGACGCACGGAATGCATTTAACTGTTATTTTCATGATGTAGACTATATTTCAATGAGACTGCAACCCGACTAAACAAATATTCGAAAGACATGCGCAATAACTATTTTATTCGGTTACTGTAAATAACTGAAAGACCACAAAACAGTTTCAAAATTATGGCTAAGATCAACATTTATACAGAAATTGTGAAGAAAATATATTTTTTTAAATTATATTTCGGTCAGTTGAATCTTTTTTTTTTTTTAAATCTAATATTATTCAACAAAAATGTTTGAGCCAGAAGAATTGTAGAATTTTATTATCCGTGAAACAAATTTTATTATTATTTATCAATTTAACCTAGTTTGCATAGTACGTTAATTTAATAGTTATTACGAATAATTATACATAACATTTTGAACAGAGCTCTGCATTTAGAATATTAACCCAAGTATTCCCATGACAAGATTTAAAAACAAAGTCCACATACATGTAACTGGTCCATATTTGCAACTATAAGTAAAATACACCATGGCTTGAAATTAAGTGGAAAATTAGTTTTATTATTACAAATAATTGAGGTTAGGAGAAAAATTAAATGGCTATTAAAAGTTATCTTTCTCAGAGAGAGTTTAGGGAGAGATGGAAAATACGTAACGCAATACACTATATAATCATACATTGTGGTTATTTGTTTGAAATAAACGTTAAAAAGTTACTTTGTCCATTTGCCATAAATAAAAATTGAAAATATTGTCCTTTTATTATTTGTATTACTTTATTTTATCCGTTCTTTAGTTCAGTCATATAAATTTACTTAAAAATACATTTCAATCATTAATTCAGTACTGTGTTTATTTATTAATGCTATTTTAACGGGGTATTTATTTTAATGAGGAATCGCCTTTTTTATGTTTTTTTTTATTTAAAGTGAAATAGGTGCTGTAACCTAAATTTGTATTTTTTTCTAAATGTATCTGTTTTTAAGCTGTCACAGTATGATATTTTTTCGAGTAAATTAAAATTTTATACATATTTTATGGACCATATTTTATTTTTTCTGCTTCAAGTGAAATTGAAAAATTAAAAATATGTCAGTAAATATGTTGACATTTTTGTTTTATTATCCTGTCATATGTTGAAAACAAAAAAATTAAAAATCATTTCAATTAATTTTAAAATTCAATTTTAATCTGACAATAGATCAGCATGTCCCAATTTGGTAATCAACGATTTCCATCTTGATTCTGCTGATAAAACTTTAAATTGAAACATGTATCAAGAACAGTTATTTAATCCACATTAATCATAAATATGAAATTGACATGTGATTAAAGTATTGTTTAACAATGTACATTACATGGTATCTGATATAACTGGTCATCTCTGGTCAGTTTTACAACATCTACCCGGATTGCCTTACATATCCTTTAATTCAGGTTTACCGGTGACACCTGAGACCCTAGGGCATTTTACTGTTCCAAATGATCATTCGAATAATTAGGTTATTGACATTAATAAAAGAAATTTACAACTCTTTCAATCACTTATTTATCAATCAGGTATTAGGTTTAATTGATTAATTATATGTCAGACACTTTTTAATTTTAAATGGATAATCCCAGCTGTTTACGATACATTACGGTAGATTCGTGAATCGGAACTGGCGAATCAACGCAGGTTATTAGCTGTACCGTAACTCACGCCTAAAATCGACAAAAAGTCATAAATCTTGATGTACCCGCAACGTAAAAGGGGCGGAGATAAAGTTGTCATCTCTTTCGCACCAAAGATTTTATCAAAGAAGAGATAGTGTGAACACCCTTCATTTATCTGTTTAAATACCCAATAGGCAGTTGACATAATCTTGCTTATCTGAGACAAACCCAATACCCAAAATTAGTCGGGTACTTTTAACCTACGTGATAAAACAAAGTACTATCTCTTTAGAGTTCATGCGGACAGAAGACCGATTATCAGTTTCATAAAACGTTATACTAACTTTTATCCGTGCGTTATTGTTTCATGTTGATGACAATTGTTTTTGGTTGATTGGACTTACTAATCATGGCCTTTGCACATCAATATACTCATGCAGGTACAGCATCAATGCCAGGATCACAGGTAATTAATTATTAAGAAAACTTTAAGTTTAAGAAAGTATTTATAAACTTCAAGAGTGACTTTTTTTTTGTTATTTTAAACTTTTTCTCGTGATGTATAAATAATCTTATCATAATGTGATATTTTAATGAGTGTAAACTCCCAACTTCTAATTTAATTAAAAAACTTCTCCTTTATTGAAAACTACATCCCTTCACATGCATTGTATTGACATACACATTGCAACTATGTGATTTGAAATAGATGTCGCAATTTGCACATCCTTTGAAGAGATAATTATGTCAACATTGGGTTTTGGATTTTTCTCTCTGTCTCTTGTTTAGGTTATTTTTGTCACAAGTCTTTAAGATTTATAGTGACAATAAAATATTTAAATGATATTATATATAATGATATGTGTTTGTTTGTTAATTGAAATATGTATATTTTTACCAGAGTAATGTAATGTAATGTATTTAATATACGTCTGGTAAAATACATCTCTGAATCTCGGTATGCTTTTGATAAGAAAAAAGTCATATACATGATCTATGAAAAATAGTGTATGATAATAGTATATTGCATACAGATTCTGCATCTCGTTTTACTCAAAACATTGTAAAGAGGTAAGAAACAAGCCAATGTAGACCGTCGATGAGGACTGTGATAAACATGCACATAGAAGCAAACTGCGTATGTACGATCACGAAAGGTACAGAAACTACAGAGTACCTCATATTTATAAGCAAAAAGTCTGAAACTCACAAATATTTTCAAAAAATATGCTTTTGGAAATGAAAGAGTAAGCGTTTTGACAAGAATATTATAACATTTTTGTAGAAATTTGATTTATTAAAAAAGATAGTTTAACTTTTGACTGCTGGAATTTTTTTGAAAAAATAAGGCAGTGGACTTCGAGTAATATTTTCATTTAAAAACGTTTATTGCTGCTTTGTGGTAAATGGACAGTATGCCTACTCGTTATTAATTTATTTTTATTTCTAATAATGTAAAATATAAATTGTTCCAAAAAAGATCTCGATAACTCTTTCAGATTATCCTTACACTTAAATTTCCAGAACACGTGAGAAGGTATATTGTTTTCTTTAATCTAAGTACTAGATTTATTATAATTTATATTTGCGCATTTTACCCATATATAGGTAAAGCAACTACAAACAAAAGTTGATATTAAATTTTAAAAAATACAGAAATGACAGAGTCAAACATGTACTGTTAAAGTGATTTTGGATCTCGTTTTCGCATTTCTGAAAAATTTGAAAGGTATTGCCTGCAGAAAAAGTTCAAATTCAAGCTTTAAAATGAAATACATGCAGCATATATCATAACTGTATTACAATTTGCACTATAAATTGATAATGATACAAATTTACATGTATGACTACTTATTAGAAAGTGAAAGTAGCGAGCCAAGAGAGAGACAGTTCGTCAATTGCAGCGCATATAGCTTTGATTGCTATGTAAAGTATTTCAAGTCTGCGCTAGAAAAAAATTAATATATATATTTTTTTTATTTTATTTTACTGTTAATGAATATATAAAATAATAATTAGAATTGAAGATAAACTAAAAACTGGAAGTTGGAGATCTGTTTCAATAAGTAAGTATAATCTTACAAACTGAATCATAAATGACAATTTCCATTTTTCTCAAAATGTTTAACAAATAAAGATTTTAAACAATTACATGAAGTATCATTATCAAAAATGAAAATAATGAGTAAACGGCATTGAAAACTAATTTTAATTTCCGTTATATTTAAATGTAATTGTAATCTCGTTTTCAATTTAAAACTATCAAAGATTTGAAAACTTGAAGAAAGTGCGAGTACATATTTGTGGTTTTATACAAAGTATTTTTATAAACATCAAGGATATACATTAACAATATTTTCTTTCCTTCTGTTAATTTATTTTAAAGAAAGATCCCGAGAAATCTATTTATTGTTGAACATCTTTATTATTAAGAACCTAAACGTATATTAAGGATCGTACAAATGATAATAATATTAAAAACTAATTGAGAGAAGCTTTAATTTTGGTGTTTATCATAAAATTTAATTTGCCTTTTGTTTAATTTACTTTATTTATTATTGCGATTTATCCATTTATTAATATTTTTTTAATGAAACAAAATGCAGCCGGTGGAAAGTATATTCGCGGCGATCGTTTTATTTCTTTTGGATTCGTGTTTGCCAAAAAAAGTCTATACCTAATACTCTGTATAGTATTACCTTTGTTTGTCTGTTTGTCTGTTTGTCTGTTGTCTGTTTGTCTGTTTGTCTTTTGTTCGTTTTGACCATCATGATGTTGTCATCTTTCACCGACTTATTTTTTTGAAATGCTTTCTTGCTATCTTCTCTTATTTATTTATTTATTTTTGTAAGAAACAAGAATTATATACAGAGATATTAACGAAAATCTTCTCGTCATTATCTCTGAATTTTAAATACATACTTTCATTATTGTGTCCCCTTTTTTTAGTTTAAAAACTACGTTTTAATTTAGGTACTGTGCAGGTATTATTTCAATTTCATTTTAATGTTTATAATTTTCTTTTCCATAAGCAGGAATATTTGTCCTGAGTTTATAACAAGTTTCCATTTTATTATACCCTCATTTCTTTTAAAAACCGCTTAATTTTAGGTTCTGCGAAATTTTTATTCCAATTTCATTATAATGCTTTACATTTGCTTCCCATAAACTGTAATATTTTCCTGTGTTAATTTTCGATTAAACAAAAAATATCGAACAATGCATCAGATAAACGATACAATTTCCCACAATAAAATGATGATAAAACAGTTATCTTAAATTTTCTGCAATAAATCTAGAGAAACCTATGATACTCGATCAAAACGCCATATATCGTTTTATACAAATTTCATACTAATATTGTTGCATAACGCATCGAACGGAACATTAGACAAGATTATACATTTGATAGCGCACATAAAATCCTGAACTACAATACAAAATCAATTGGAAAAATTATACCCGCCCATGTAGTACATGAAGCAATTGAATGCACAGCAATACACACGGAACGTCTGCATGTAAACGTATGATTTCATACAGTGTTAATTGATGCTTAAATTAATAAATCAATGCCCTTAACAATACAAATCATATGATAAATAAATATGACATAAAATTTTCATTTAGATCTCATGTCAGTCTTTAATTGTAATTATCTGATTTCAATGGAATTATACATTTTAGATGCCGCAATGCAATTTCAAATTACATTATTTTTTTAAATAAAAATATCATTATCGATAATGAAATAATTAAAATCACGAAAAGATTAATAAAGATAGGAAGGATACAAAACGTGTCATCTGCAAATAATTGATTCTTTGTGTCTGATTAATTTTTTTATTCAGTTAACTGCATATATACATGTAACATCTTTTCAAATAATCTAATTACAACATATGAATAACAACATATAACCATAGAGCATATTAATGTTCAATAAAAAATCATTTTTACATATTGCACAAATAAGGGTAAAATGATTTAACTAAAAGGTTTTATTCTTCTGTGTAGATTAGTAAATAGTTTTCGTTTAACATTTATTTTTTATGCCCCCGTCGCAGCGGAGGGGGCATTAAGTGTTACCCTTGTCCGTTTGTACGTCTCTCCGTTTTCTAACTTTAGTTTGCCTCAACCACATGTCACGAAACTATAACACAATGCTTATTACCACAAAACACAAATCAAGTTCAAATTTGGGTTGCGTCACTTTTACCGTTCTTGAGTTATGTCCCTTTATAACGTTATATGCACGAGACACATTCTCCATTTATTGTTGTGATAAAATGACAGATAACATTTTCGTTTCACTTCTGGTCAACCTAAATAAAAAAGTAGTTAAGAAAGCACGTTTTCCTTTTGACGGTTTCATGTACGCAGGTTGAAAGTCCAAAGAAAAATCGTGTATGGCTAATGTAACGAAATAACCTACATATTAAGCAGGTTCAACCCTCCTTTTTGGTTTTATTCAAGTTATTAATTCTGTAGTGTTCTGTGTATTGTTGTTTGGCTCTTCATTGTTTTTTTTTGTTGTCCTCTCTTCTTCGACAGGTTTGTTATAATTATCCCCCTGGTATAGCTTCTTTGTTTTTATTGAATAACAAAGCGAAGTTAAAACTCACTGTTAAAAATTAAAATAAACTCTCAAACACATTAGTGGTTGGAAGAAACAAAAAGTGACTGTTACATTGCAGACTTGTTTTCAAAGCGGAAAAACAAGGTTCTTTACATTGCATGTAATGAGAAGGATTTTTTATTTTCTTAATAACTGTCAATTACTGAATTGTAATTTCATTATTTTCCACTTTCTTTTTTTCTTATTATTTTTTTTGCTATGGGACGTCCAATTTCAGTGGAAATATACAAAAAAATATTTTTCCCAATTCACAACCTGATTTTATTTCTCATTTTCAGGTTATGTTATCAACAAAATCACATTCACCAACAGCGCCATCTACCATGGAGCAAGCTAGAGCATTGTTGCACGAATCAGGTCTTCCGTTATTACACTTTTTGCCAAGAATGAATGGATTACCAGAGTCCCTGTATGGTCAAGGTCCATTAACATCAAACGGACTTGGTGTAGAGCCATCAGCTTTCTATCCAATGGTAGGTGTAGTGTTTCTTTAATTACAAAGTGACAAAATGCATGATAATTTCAAATTGGACATAATTTGTAATCTACACCACGTCCTTAATAGTCAATATGATTTATGAGTTCAGTAGGTTATTTCAGGTGAACATATGAAATAGCACAAAGATCTTTTAAAGTTGTTTTTATATTTGTTTATTTTGTTGTTAAAGTTTGTACCTCTTTCGCAGTTATCGATATCAGTTATAAAGATTTGGAGTAACCACAATGAGACAACAACCTCACAACACTAAATATGTTCAATATCAGATAAACGTCCATGGTAGTATTAAAGCTCGATTGAAACATTAAAAGATATATTTGCGTCTTTTCAGTGCTTTTCCTCTCTTGCAGTGTTCTTTATTGCTTCATCTGCTGTGCACATGTTACGGCTTCAACCGATTAATCTATTATCGATACACACGTGTGCATATATATCTTAACTGATTGTCTTTTTTTTTAGGGAAGTCCACCAGGTCATTTGACTGGTTCCCCGGAATGGAAAGGAATACCAGGACAATCTCCAGTTGTTTATCCGTTTGACCCAATGCTAGCTTGCCATCCCTATGCTTCATTGTAAGTAGATACTTTCTAATACTAGTAGTTTTGTTGTCAAACATGCTCTCTAAAAATTGATCCTGGAAGTGAAAGACTTTACTCCTCGGACGCCTTTTTTAAACAACATATTGATAAATGTTAATAGTGTTGGAAATAAGAGAAAATACTTCGTCTTTCTACCAGTTTAAAATACTGCATGGATCAGTTGAATTAAGACAAATAATTTGCAAATATGTTTTGACGATTGTTACGGCTTCAAGACAGTTTGTTTAAAATGGCAAATGTCTTTTTATATCATCAATTTATAAATTTTGGCCATAATTGTCTGCTACGGTTCGGGATAAGAACGTCTATTTCATGACCTATTTGAAAGAATATCCATATATTTATAATGTATCCGCATTGAAATATGTGATGAAAATCTGCTTTCTATGTTGCTGCATCGAACTTGTATGTGATAAGAATGTCAATTACATGTTGCACATTGATCTATTTGAGAAGAATGTTCATTTCATCATGCTGCTGCAATGAACTATGTGTTAAGAATATCCATGTCATGTTGCCCATTGACATATGTGTTTAGAATTTCCATTTCATGTTACCCATTGGAACTATATATATGAGAAGACTGTGAATTCCATATTACCGCTTTGAACTATATGTGATAAAACTGTTCATTTTATGTTGCCCATTGAAATATGTGATAAGACTGTCCATTTCATGTTGCCCATTGAAATATGTGATAAGACTGTCCATTTCATGTTCCCTATTGAAATATGTGATAAGACTGTCCATTTTATGTTCCCTATTGAAATATGTGATAAGACTGTCCATTCCATGTTGCCTAATGAGATATGTGATGAAACTGTCCATTTCGTGCTGCATATTTTTAAATGTGACAAGAACGTCAATTTAATGGGTTTTTTTTCAGTGTTACGATAGCACTATCTTTAATTAGTAAAATTTACATCAAAATGATATAATTTTATGTGTTTTAAAGATGAAAAATAAGACTAAAGCAGACACCACTGTTTCTTTTTATTTATAAGTCTATTTCGTCAGACTGTGTTGTCGTTGTAGGATTTTTCTTATATGCCTGTAATCGACCTGGAATCGATCTGTTCATTATAATTATTGAAACAATTTTAATTGATAAACATATATTATATATTTTTTTCATTGATGTGAAATTTAAATCATGTTCTCACTTTTATTGAATGATATATTATGAAAATGGAGTTCTAGAGAGTTTTACAGATAACAATATTTTCGGTTATTATGAAATTTGACGCTTTTCTTAATCTTTAAAAAAGCGTAATTGATTTGTAACACTCCAAAGATTTTATGAAAAGGGAACATCTTATTATAAAACGGAAAAGTTACAAAAGGAAGACACTTCATTCATTTTTGTTGTAATGGACGTACACATTTATGTGCAAGTCTTTATGTTCTTCGTCACAAAGTTTACTACAAGGACGGGATTAAAAATGCACAACACGTGCTTTTGCAATAAGCCTTATCGGGTTATCAATGGATGCCAAGAGTAGAAATGCTTGTTTTACTCAATACTTATGCATCTCAATTTATCAAATACTTTTATTTATTCATGTCAAAAAATTTACGAAATTCGTTTTAAGGGTTTATTTCCCTAGATTAAAATTGCTTGATAAAAACTATTATTTTTTTGTGGTGCAATGTGGCTTTTATCTATAGAGTCAAAATATAAGAAATAATGCATGTAACACGTATTTATATTTGAATAAATATTAATTAATTAATTAAACGAATAGATAAGAAAATAAGAAAATTAAAAATAGAAACAACAAAACAAAACAGAACAATACTCAGTTGTGGAATTTTTTATTATAGCTATGGTGGTCTTGATCTCAATAACGCCGCAAGAAGAAAGAACGCCACAAGAGAAACAACAAGTGCACTGAAAGCATGGTTATACGAGCATCGTAAAAACCCATATCCCACAAAAGGTGAAAAGATCATGCTTGCAATTATTACAAAAATGACACTAACTCAAGTTTCAACCTGGTTTGCAAACGCCAGACGGCGGCTTAAAAAAGAGAGTAAAACGGGATGGAACGGAAAAGATAGAGATTTAGATGACAGTGATTTCGAAACAGATGGCGATGAAAGAACCAATGAAAATGAAGGTCAGTATTTACTTCCAATCGGATGACCTTTTCGGGATATCTGACCAATGATATTGTAAATATATTTCAAATAAAAATGAAATAAAAGACGATAAGAAAAGTTAGGATCATTATTTACAAATAAATAACATATCGGACAAGATTGAATATGGGATTATAAAAATTTAAGACAGATATGGAAAATCTGTCAACTTGTGACAATTTGCAAACAGCAAATTTCCATAATTGCTCCTAATTGGACCACAAAGTCTCCGACAGTAGAAATCAGAATTTTATGTCGAATTTACTGCTGAACAACAAAAATTTAACACGATACAGCAAATGAAAAACTCCGCTTAACAGGAAACATAAAACTCTCTAGTCGATCATCAGACTTCCTTGACATATTTAGTTCTGTCATATATAGTTTTTAAATTTGTAATAGGGTATACGTTCTTAGTCGGCATCTATTTCTTAGTTGATGGTGCAAGGTATTCAAATTTGACAAGCGATCTTATCTCGACAACAGATCGGCTTTGTTTAAGTCGTTCAAGCCCCTTTTTATTTCAATACTTGAAACATCGGCGGAATTTTATGAGTAGCATTAATCTCCGAAACTATAAAGTTACAACAAATTATAAGATAAACATCTCAAAAGGTTATAGACTTACATAAATTGAATATTCTAATTTTCTCAAGTCATTGTGTATTTTATTATAAAACATTATTTAAAAATGTTAATGTATTTTGCGAATATAATAAGGCGACACACATTAATATTTGATATTATTTCAGATTTAAATCTTTTATATCAGAGTTGTCACTTAAAGAATTTACATTGTATACTATTGAGGTTTCTTGTTCTGCTATTAATAATTGTCGCTTAAAGGTGTCTAGTAACACCACAGGAACACCGTGTCCGTATTTATAATTTAAGAATTCGTTTCGTATTTCTTTTTTTTTTTCATGAAGTTGTAAATTTTGCATAACACCTATCCCACGTATAAGGTTCATTATCAAACTAACCTTGGATAGACGAAATGATTTGATGCAAATTAATAACGATTAATTTTGACATCTTGCATTTTAATCAGATCCTTTTTAAAATATAGATATTGAAAGATAGAAATAAATTGACAGTAAATTGCATCAATATAATGTTTCTGATCGATGTTCTTTCGACAGAAAACATGCACCTGCATGTTTCAACTGTTAAATATATATATATTAAGAGTACAAGAGTACTTTATATATTTCAGTATTTGTTGTTATTTTATATTTTACCCTTTTCAAGCATAATCAGAAAAAAAAAAGAACGATAAAGTTAAAGCATATATACGTTTATAGGAATTAAGTTGTAAAATTTCATGTATCAGTCTAGGTTTGGTACACTAAAATGATCAGAGATCAACTGGTCAACTATTAGGTCAACATGAGTACTTTTATTTTCCGTTTTTTTACTTTGTTTTTTTTTTACTTAAACACTAGTTTTGTTTTGTTTTATGTACATGCACATTGATACGATGGTGGATTTCTATTTAAAATACGATACAAACTAACCGAAAGTCTCGTCAGATGTTTTCAAACCTGTCTTTTCTTTTTTCTTAATAATATATTCAAAAAATGAGAAAGTAAATTTTGTTTTTGAAATTTTACATGGCTATCAAGTCCGAAAACATACTTTTTTGCCATTTTACAACCCGCTCGTTTTTTGAATATATTACACAGCAGGTTCTCCCTGGTTGGCTGTTTTGGTAAATTGAAATCTTTATAAAATTTTAACTCTTTTGACATTTTATTGATTTTAATAAATGAATAATCAACCTAGCATACAAATGCACTCATTCATGACAAATCTCCTGTTCCTTGTTGTATGAAAACGAGGCGGAACACGACATTGTCACCTTTATCTTTGATATCTTGTCCTTTATAAAGGAAAACGATTCGATGATCCAACTTAATGAAAAAGCTTCATTCTACCTACACGAAATTGAATATCACACATCTCAGATTTGTTTGTTCGCCCGTATTTTGCCGGAGATGTTATCATGTCCCTATCCGACAAGACTCGGGTAGGATTACCCTTATTAGAAATGGTAATGAAGTTCCTGAGTGATTTAATGTAGTGATAACATATTTTATTTTTCACCTATAATATAAACGTTTTAGAGACGTTGATTAATGATCTGGAATTAAATACCGCGATAAATTACGAGAAGTGTTTTCATTCAACTGTCAAGTCTTCAATTACAGTTTAAAGATGTAAACTGTCAGATTTCGTCAAATTTTATCATCCTTAACAAATAATGCTACCACTAAACTAATAAATTCTAAATTGATAAAATGGAGATACATTCTACGTTTATCTAGACTAATAATTTATATTATGTATGATATTCAAATTTTTATATTATTACAGTAATAACTGGGTATGAATTATTAACATGATTATAGAGCTTTTTAATATGGATAAACATATGCCATGTCAAAAAGTTAAATTTATTGGATTTGTGAATTTGATTTATTGGTCGGACCTTTTGAATATTAAATTACAAGATAAATAAAGACCACAAGACAAAGTTTTAAAATAGATATCGTTAGTAAAGTACATCGCCTCCGCCCAATATGGCAATGAAATATTAATGAAGTTTATTTCATCGGTTTCAAAATGTATAACATATTTGTTTTTTTTTTCTAATTCTAACACGAAACTATTGCTAATTTTTTTTAATTCATTTTGGCTTTATTTTTACTGAGATTTTCTTCTGTTTGTGAATAAAACAAAATTACTTTATACTGCATCTAGTTGTGTTTATTTCCTAAATATGGTAACACAGCTATATTTTGTGCAATGTCAATTTCATCATGGATCACTTTTTCCGCATCAGGGGTTCATTAAGGAATGAAAATAAGTTTGAAATTTGTGTTACAATTTAAATAGCTATCAATGTATTCATTTAAGTTGCAGTATAAAAGCAATATTAGGTCAATGTAAGAAAAATATCAACTTTTTTGTATTCGACACAAAACTAAGTTTCTCGGCCTCATACAAAAAAAGTTTATATTTTTCTGACATTGACCTAATATTTTATAAATATATAGGTTGTTGGTAGTTTTATTTTAAGACTGACGTGATAATGCTTTATATTTCGATAGGACATATTCTCTTGTCGCGCCAAAACCATATGTTAACGCGTCGCATAATAACAACCAACCAATTATAATTTATTAAGGTGGTACATAACACTACAGGGAGATAACTCTGTAAAAGCAGCCGAACGTTTTTTAAGGAAATATATATTTTTTTTAAAAATAAAACTTCTCAATAATCAAAATTAGTGTTTGTTAAACTGCTATATATCCAATGAAAGTTTTCCGATAAAGTGTGTGGTTCAATTTTTTTGAAATTTTTATATTATTGTCAAAAGGTCAAAGTAAATATTGTGTCAAAATTTTATGAAAATCAAACGATCAAAATTAATTTTAGTCCAGGTGTTTGGTACCACCTTAAAAAATGATAATTTCTTATTTTATATTTGTAGATAAATCGAAGATGTCACCAATAAGCTGTTCTGGGAATGATTCAGATGACGAAGACATTGATATAAAAGTAACCTCAGACATTTCGGATATTTCAGACGCAGAAATCGAATTAGAAGACAGCAGATCTATCGGAATGGGAAGTAGAATAAGCATACATTCCGAACCACCCACTAATTCCATTCCGTCTTACCGTTGTGAAAACAGGCTAACAAATTCGTCACCAGCAACGCGCAACGACTGTCCGACAGTTAACGTAGGTCAAAGTAATTCAAATGCGACTAATACAAAACCAAAAATTTGGTCTATTGAAGAGATCATGAATAAAGACTCCAACAAAGCAAATACTTCTGGGCATCATCATCAAACTCATTCTCGGACTTTGGACAATATCGCCACCATCAGTACTTTGCCAGAAAGAATAAATAAGCGACCTAGTTCGATAGACAGTTCACAAAATAGCAAATACACAATCAATGGACTGAAATCACAATCAAACCAAACTGGATTGAGAGCAAGAATTGAAACAGTTGTATCACCGAGTGACTCGGATAATGATTCATGACCCCTTACTAGGTCTTAATATTGAATTTGTTTAATTTAAATTATGCAAACAAGTGCAAAATCTATCATGTGTACTAATTATTTATTTGTGAATATATGATAACATGTGTAATGGTTAAGCACATCTGTTGCAGGATTGCTCGACAATCTCGAAGTACCCAAAGCAAGTCACGTGTAATAAGTGCTTCCTGTATATTTGGATTAAAAACTTTAGACACATATCAAAATGCTCTTTCAGATAATAATTTAAGATCTTTGTTTATATTTTTGTACTTTGATATTATATATTTTTTGATTATGTATTAATATTTTTGTAATAAAACAGACATTTTTCAAATGATTTATAGCTTTATTTATAAATGAAAGAGCATAATGTATAAGAGTCAACAAGGCAGCAACCCAGTAATATAAATATTCTGATATAGAAATATACAAGATTGAATTATGTTTATAATAAGTCTAGGTATAAACTTTGTTTTTATTAGTCAGTCAAATGCGTATACATTTGATAGGGTGATGACGAGACTTCGATCACCCACTGTTTTTTTTGGTGGGGTTCGTATTGCTCAGTCTTGATTTTTCTATATTGTGTATCTTGTTGTTTGTTTTTTGGTAGTTTTTCGCTTTTTCTCATGGCTTTGTCAGGTTTTTTTGACTTATTAGTTTGAATGTAGCTTTAGTATATATCGCATCTCTTCGATAGACAAACAGACAGATTGTACCCCTACCTGGATTTACACTTTATAAATTTTGTGCTTCCGAAGCGTTTTTCTTTATTGACCTTCACCAAAAACGTTCAAACCTTAATATTTAGAAGCCAGAGATTTATAAATACGCAGAATCATCAGGAGCAATGTGAATCTAACGGGTTTGGTGTGATATATTACTACCCAAACCGTCAGTTGTGATTAATTTACTTTTCTTACACTGATATGTTTTCTTGTTTTTATTTTTATTCTTGACCACATCAGTTTTCTTGTAGGTTCTATCTGTTATTTAAAATTTGCGAGGTAGTCACCGCAGCTTCTATTCAATAACGTGTACTCGTGACTCGAGTAGTACATAGCATTCTAACTCAACTCATGGTCTACTAGTATTATGAGCTGAAATTGTGAGGTCATCTTGATTTCAGTAAATCCGAGTACTCTTGGATTAGTATTTTGTGTCTATTGTCAAGATGCCAGCTGTATTTTTCATGTGTTTTTGTGTTTATTTCTGATCTGATAAGTAAAGCCCTTTTATGCTGATTTTTACAGTTTATTTAAAGTTGTACTGTCACAACAATGTCCCAGATTACGAAGGGGATAGAGCGCTCAGAAATATCTCCAACCCACTACATTTCCTGTGTGCATGTGGTCGTCATTGGTTGCTATTTGCCATGAAAGTTGTTGAATGTTCATATATTTGTAGCTTTAATCAGACCGTTTGTTTCTCTTCAAATTTTGTTGTTTCGAAGGTTTTTACACTACACGGTACGGATATTTTCCTTCCCATTGTTGAAGGCCGAACGGTGACTTTTAGTTGTTTAGATCCCCGACCTTTGGTCTTTGATGAATAGTTGTCGCATTGGCAATCATATCACATCTCCTTATTTTTATATCAATTACAACTTATATTACCAGATCGTGAGAATAACCAGATATGCGACAATTAAATTAATATAAAATTTAATCCAGAATGGAATCGCGCAATCAAGTCAAAAGGTATAAATTCACTTACTAACAGATCTATAGCCTCCTAAAAAACATCATTAAAATGAAAAAAAAACCAAAGCATAAACAATCAAACAAATCGAAATAAAAACAAAACTTTATTAAAAATTATTGTTGTTACATACATAAAATACAATAGAAGCTAAGCATAGTGTGAGGGATCAGTTGATGATCGGGTTAATAGATCACATTATGATCGGGTTAATAGATCACATTATGATCGGGTTAATAGATCACATTATGATCGGGTTAATAGATCACATTATGATCGGGTTAATAGATCACATTATGATCGGGTTAATAGATCACATTATGATCAGGTTAATAGATCACATTATGATCGGGTTAATAGATCACATTATGATCAGGTTAATAGATCACATTAGCTATCGATTTACTTTTAAAATTCTTAGGCAGACAAGACAGAAATTTTTGACTTAGTCTTTATAATATTAACCTTAGGTCAATCCCTAGAGTCATCATGTAAAATCATACATGCATAGGACCATTTTGACATCTTCTCAAACTCTCTTATCATTTATGAAAATATCGCCCGATAACCCCTATAAAAAAACAAGACAAAAACAAACAACAAAAAATACAGCAACAAAAACAGCATATTTGTTCTAACAAGAGGAAAAACAAATTTATCCGGACTTACAACAATATTTTGCAAATAAATATGAAACTTACATCATCATCATCATCATCATCATCATCATCATCATCATCATCTTGCTTTGACAGCCGGATTCTTGACAGGAAGTTGAAAACTTCCAAGTTGGAGATTACATCTTCCAAGGTCTTCCTTGTCCAGTTATGTTTTTTTTTTATTCTTGCAACTTTTGTGCGACATTATAACGAGTTCCCAATCTATCTGACATGTTGTCGTAGTTTGTTAAAATAAAGAATAGAAACGGGGAATGTCTAAAAGAGACAACAACCCGATCAAAGAGCAGAAAAAAGCCCAAGGCCACCAATAAGTCTCAACGCAGCGAGAAAATCCCGCATCCGGAGGGAGCTTCAGTTGGCTACTAAGCAATAATGTATACTAGTTCAGCGAAATAGTTCAACGAAATAACTCACCAATAATTGTAAAGTTGGCTGTAAAGATTTTAAGCTGTTTCTTACCTAACTGAATTCTATTCATATGTATATTTTATAAGCATCATATTTGAACTGAGGAAGAATATATTCCTACGTTCATGTAAATATAAAGTTAAGTAAAACATGTAATTTTTTAAATGATCACTTTTGTTAGAGTACTCCTGCTTATTCTGTCATTTATCATGTTGTGTTTGATTTGTACTTTGTCCTCAAAATATAAATTATATTTGGTGCCTGCATGTGAATTGTTGAAAATCTAAATACTAAGTAGAAGACAAATTAAAATAAGTTTTACGGCAATTCCCATCTCAGTTAAAAATTGTCTTCTAAGGGCGATCTCTAACTTTGGAGGTTTGAAAGGTGACTACCAATGTTAAACAGCTACAACACAGTTGACCATCTGGTTTGGACTTGCCTTTTAGATTTATTGCTTAAAATATTTTCACTTGTGTTTAGATTTCTACATGTTTTCTCTAAGTGTTTCCAAATAACGGTTTGAGATTTCACAAGTCATGTTTAACCCCGCGGCATTTTTGCGCTTGTCCCAAGTCAGGAACCTCCGGCCTCTGTTAGTCTTGTTTTTTTTTTTTTAACTTTGGTTAATTTACATGTTTAAGAGTGTAGTGTGACGTCCATTTTTGCTGAACTAGTATACATTATTGCTTAGGGGCCAGCTGAAGCCCACCTCCGGGTGTGGGATTTTCTCGCTGTGGTGCAGACCCATTGGTTGCCTTGGGCTGTATTCCGCTGTTTGGTTGAGTTGTTGTCTCTTTGACGCATTCCTCGTTTTCTTTCTCAATTTTATTATCCAGAACCGCGTCTTCAATATGAAATATAATATAATTTTCGGCAGATCTCATGTTAATTGAGGTTCCCGCTATGATTATGGAAAGACGAAAGTTTGTTGCCTGATCGAGATAAATGCAAGTACTTTAAATCGACCATATAAGCTTCGCAGCAGTAATTAGAGAAGTCAAGCTCCGGTTTTTAGCGGGGTTGATGTTGCTTAAACTTAGGTTTACTGAGAAGTGTTGAAACATGTCCATCGAGAACATTGCGGGGAATACTAGTATCACAAGTTCTAACCCTCAACATGTTTTGAATGTAACAATGAATTGCCGTAATGCGTCATTCAATCGGCATTTAACAAACAAAACGTACGTGTTTTCATATGTAACAGAATTAATAACGTTACAGGTATGACTGTTTACAAAGAAACATATTGGGTAAGAATTAATATTTGCAACCTATATGTTTTTAATTAACGATTTATTCTAATTGCTGTCATTTGCGTATTGCTAAAAGTGTGACATTTCCATTTGTCAATTAAATGTCATCAACACATCTATCGATAGGAAAATTCACATTTAATACTTTGAGATCATCTTAATCTCAATTATTTTGTTCCCCCGAAAAATTCCAATTTAACATATTTGACATTTTTTATAGTATACTTGAAATCACACAATGTAATCACAAACTTCAAAACGAGTGTTAATTTAAAACTTGAACGAATAACTACATTCTAATTGCATAGAATACAAGATAGATTCTTCTTCACGGTGGTATTCGGTAAAGATCATTTGCATTATGCAAGCCAATGTCCACTGTTTGCGAATTACAATGAATTAACACGTGTTAGATGACCAGTCCGGACATTTGGACACACATTGTAATGTTTAACCAGGTGGGAGCAATCATTTTAAAAGACATAAATCCGACCAAGCATTTTAGCAATATATTTCGAATTCTTTCTTTTATTCATAGCCTTTGACATGAACAACCTGTTAATTTATTTTAACGTGCTGTTTTGAGCAAAATGGATACATGTTCAACACGTATGGATGAATTATTTAATTCTAAGTCATGTTTGATCCATATTTAATTTCTTTGCCGTGCACTAAATCATTTTGAAGATATTGTAACACATATCTTAAGAGAGTATATCGTAACCCTGTGCGTCCTGCTCTAGTTAAAAACGACAATTACAACGTTTATATCATCTTGTATCCGAAAAAAAATTAAAATGAAATATCCATGGGGAAGAAAACATGTGACATTTAGATACAAACCATAAAAAAAAATGGTAATGCTGATATATAAGCATGATAAGAAGCGTTGAAGGGCTCATTGTGACACTGCTCCTTTGCTTTTTGGTTTTTTTTTGCCGTGCAAGTACTGAATTTGTGTCATGGCTGGATTCCCCATAACATTTCTTTTCTATCAAATGACTTAAAGGAGTTCATAAAAAAACCAATTTATGAAAAAAAAAACAATGCTGTAAAAACCAAATATTTCACAAAATTGTCTATTTTAATTTAGGAGTAAAAATTGCTTATTCAATTTCGCATGTTTTTCAACATTTATTGTATAATAGATCACATGGTGACCTTGTTGTGTATTTGTTTTTGTGTGTGTGTTTTTTTTTTTTTTTATTATTATTTTAGAATAGAGAAAACGCCAATAAGACAATTGGATCTAGATCTCAAAATGGTCATAGAAATGAACAAACTCCCAGTGT